CAGATGCTGGAGATGATGTGGAGAAATAGGAACACTTTTACACTGTTGGTGGGAATGTAAATTAATTCAACCATTGTGGAAGACAGTGTGGCAATTCCTCAAGGACCTAAAAATAGAAATCCCTTTTGACCCAGCAATCCCATTACTGGGTAAATATCCAAAGGATTATAAATCATTCTACTATAAGGACACGTGCACACGAATGTTCACTGCAGCACTGTTTACAATAGCAAAGAGTTGGAACCAACCCAAAAAAAAAAAAAAAAAGTCAACAAGAAGAAGAAGAAGAAAAGAAACTGCGGGATTTCATCAAACAGTGGCGATAACCGCTACCTTTGTTAAGTCAGACTACTTTCACTAAGCACCAAAGAGAATCGTTTCCAATCTTTTCACCCAGAACCCCTATGGAAGAATGGCAGAAACTTCATCACTTTATCTAATTGGCCTCTGAATCAAGAAATCTAAAGCCACCAATCAGAGTCTCTAATTACCATGAGATGACCAGGGTAACATCCTTCGGTTCAGATCACATGAGCTTCGGCCGGCTTTGCTAAACCTTTAGTTTTTAACTGAGGGCATGGGTTGGCATCATACGGACGGGCAATTGCAGGTCCCTGTGTCAGATACCTTTCGACCCTCCCCCACACACACCCTTGAGTAAATCTGATTTCCTTGATGAGATTTCCTGATGCCTACAGTTAGGGAGAAGCCAAGAGACAGACAGAAAGGCCTATCCCACAAAGCAGAACCAAGCAAGGACAGTAAAAGAGATCAAACTCCTATGCCCCTGGGAGGGGTGGGGGGCAGTAGAACAGGTGGTGGGAAGCTTCTGGAATCAGGCATCAGAGCAGATGCCAGTGCAAGAGGGAAGGGGCCTTCAAGGCTGAAGAACACGAAGGAAGCCAGGACAGGCAGCCGCAGGGGTGCTGCTCCGTGAGGATGACGTCTTTTTTCTGGGGAAAGAAAGATGTGATGCAAGCAGGGACTGTATACAATTCAGGGGAGACTCCCTGAACCCCGCCCGCCCAGCAAGGGACACACAAGGCCAGTCTCTATTTCTTCACAGCAATACAAGAGCGGGTCTGTGGTGTCCCGCAAAACTTATGAGAGAGCCAAATCTCCTCCTCGTGGCACAAGAGCCACACGTTCTTCCTGGAGGTGGAGTAGCCACTGATCACCCTGCAGCTTCTCCCCGCTCCCACCGAGACATTCCAGTCCCCTGGACTCAAATCCGCTGGCAACAGCCTTCCTTTGTGGAAAAGGTTTCCCCTCCCAAAACACAAAACAAACAGGATACAAGCAAACACAACTCAAAACATGAAGAGCTAGCTCAAGCCCCTCACAGCTCACCTATGCGCCCACTGTCACGCTACTGACAATGGCGTCTGCCCCCACTGAACTCATTCATGACTGCAGAACCTGACTGACAAGCTTTAGCGGGTCACGGCTCCCACCGAGACACGCCCTCTCGAAGAAAGAACTAGATAACAAACCCCCACACAATAGATAAACCTAAACCAAATAGAATTCAGCACCCACCTGTGGATCCTACTGTCACATTACCACACTGACAAAAAACAGTTCAATCCTCTGCTGACCTGTCTACAGAATAATCCTCATTCGGAGCGCTCCGCAAGCACTGCCAGCGTTGCACCGGGATCCCCTTGCTGAGGTAGCTCGACGTCAGGAAACAGAGCAGATGTACCTGGTTTTCCTACATATCACGGAGAGTTAATTCTCAGAAAAGGCTTACCACCGGAATCCTCGTCCCCTGATTCTCGGGCTATTAGGATTTTCTTTCTTCAGAAATACACACACACGCACAGACACACACACAGATGCACACACACACACACACACACACACACACACAGATGCATACACACACACAGAGAAAGAGACCAAAAGTCACAGGAGCGTTAGAAAATGAGGCGAAATCACCATCCAGAGGAGAAACAATAGCCAGCACCGTAGACACTTCCAGTGGTACTGCTGTCCTTATTCTGACTAAAAGATGAGAGTGGAACTCGGCTGCAGGGACCGTTGTTGCAGCAACGGTCAGACGAAGATGATCTTTTTCAACTCGGTGGCCGAGCCGCCTTATGATGCTCCGAGGAGGCAAGAGAAGTCTGCAGGAGCCGCTGACCCCGAAAATGGCAACATCAACCCAGATCCGCATCCCACAAAAAGCAGCCACCCTCCCTCTCGCAGGGGCGGCGGGGGCGGTGGGGGCGGCAGTGGCCTCCCCAGGCTCCCCGAGAAGGGGGCCTATGCCTGCCTGAGCTGCAGCAATGCTCAGAAGACGCCTGAGGCCAAAATCCGGAAACAGGCTGCAAAGAAAGTGGCCCCGCTGATGGCCAAGGCCATTCGCGACTACAAGAGAACATTCTTCCGACGATAAACACAAGACTCCTCTTACAGATGGAATCCAAGGGGAGGAGGACCAATGCCAAGTCAATGCGGGTTAAGGAACGAAACTTCCAACAGACACCACAAACTTTGGCTGGGTGCAAAGTTACGCTTCTGAATTCTGCAGGTGTCCACCGCTGGCCCTGGGATTTGGCCTCCCATACCCAGCCACTGCCTCCCTGCTGGGAGGACACCTCCGAATTCAGAGGATGTGAACACTTTCAGATCCATTCCACTTTGGTGGTTAACTCATCACTTTTTAAATCATGTAAGAGTTAAAATCATCAACGAGGTACAAGATGTAGAATTCCCTATTTTCTGGTTTTTAAATCATGAACTAGATCATTCCTTTTTAGACACAAACTCACGAGGCATTAGTTAACACTGACAAATCTCACTATAGAAATGGTTTTTTGTTGTTTTGTTGTTTTGTTTTGTTTTGTTTTTTGAGACGGAGTTTCACTCCTGTTACCCAGGCTGGAGTGCAATGGCACGATCTCGGCTCACCGCAACCTCCGCCTCCTGGGTTCAGGCAATTCTCCTGCCTCAGCCTCCTGAGTAGCTCGGGTTACAGGCACGTGCCACTAGGCCCAGCTACTATTTTTTTTTTTTTTTTTTTTTTTTTGTATTTTTAGTAGAGACGGGGTTTTACCATGTGGACCAGGATGGTCTCGATCTCTTGACCTCGTGATCCACCCGCCTCGACCTCCCAAAGTGCTGGGATTACAGGCTTGAGCCACCGCGCCCGGCCCCGTTGTTTTGTTTTTAAGCAAAATCTGGGCATGAAACTCTAATTGTGAGCCATCCTCCTACGGGAGGCTGAGAAGGATGGATGGCTTGAGCCCAGGAGGTGGAGGCAAGCCTGTGCCAAACCCCATCTAAAGAAAAGGAATCTAAATTAGCCAGGTGTACTTGCACGGCCCCTGGGGCCCCAGCTTCCTGGAGGGCTGAGGTGGCAGGATGGCCTGAGCCCGGGAGGCAGAGGTTGCAGTGACCCTTGATCATTCCGCTGCACTCCAGCCTGGGCGACAGAAACAGAGCATGTCTCAGAGGAAACATCTGTTTCTTTCAAAAATGGAACTGTGGGCGGGGCCGAGGGGCTAACGCCTGTAATCCTAGCACTTTAGGAGGCCGAGGTGGGTGGATCACCTGAGGTCAGGAGTTCAAGCCACGGCTACCAAGAGGCGGCAGCCCTGCAGGCAAAGCCACAAGGCACCTGTCAAGAGCAGAGGTCATGGCCACCGTTTTGGGGGATGGGACGCTAGAGGGAGTCTGCGCGTCGACCTTCTGGAAGGCCAAACCATGATCCCATCAGCTCTCCTTCCTAGTAAGGGAAGCATTGTGAGAAAGTTGGCCAAAGCTTGAGCGGAGAAACATTCCTCAGCACAACGTTCTTCTCCACTCCACGGCGCCAACGTTCCCGTGCCTGCCTTTCCTCAAATAAGGGCAGTCGGGCCAGAGTTTCCATGGGAAATCACGAGCGTCCACTTGTCAGTTCTCATTTGGCGCCTGCTGACTTATTTCTGTCTCCTAGTCTTAGAAAATCTGTAACGGGCACCACCCAGGTTTCTTCCCTTCATAAGGAAAAAGAGAGGTCACGGAGGTAGCTACATGGCCAGGACCCGGGGACTTTAGGAATGGACTAGAGGGCAGGGCAAAGACATCGCTTCCAAAAGCGTCTGGAACTCCATGGAGCCGACGTTGAGGAGTCAAATCGACCTTTTCTCCTTTTCTCTCTTAATCCCACTTTCCTCCGAATGCTGGGAATTCCCCCCCCAACCCCCCTTCCCGCACAACGTCCGTTCCAGGTCACGAGTTGCTATCCCGTGTTGGTTCTTCTTTCTCGGATTTCTGTGGCGCTGTGTTGTTATTGTCTATTTTCCTCCCAAGAAGTTTCAGTCTGTGTTTTATGGAATCCACAGATGCGGAACCCGCGAACATGGAGGGCCAACGATGGAACCCAAGAAGGATGTGTTGAGGCTCATCCCCCCTCGAGGGCGCAGCAGTCCACCTGGCGTGGACCCTCCCGATTGGCTGCATTGTACTGACACGGAATGAATTCCTACGGGGGCTGGGCAGCCCAGCAGCCAAGGGGGTCAGGGTCTGAGCCGTGGGCGGGCCTAGGGCTGCCTATATAAGGCCGAGCCCTGGCAGCTGCGCTTCATTCCCTGTTGGACAGCTCACCGCAGAGGTCGCTCCAGGCTGTGGCTCCACATCCCGAGGACCAGAAGCGGATCTGCTCAGCTGTCTGCAAGGACCGGACCGGCGTTCTAGAGCCGGTGGCCCCCTCGCGCCCCGCTATCCCCCCTTTCCCCGCCCCGCTCCCCAGGCCGCGCGGAGGATTCGGCCGCTCCGAGTTCGCTGACTCCACACCGCGAGGCCTGTGGTGTGCGAGGAGCAGCGCCACAGAACCAGTGGCCCGCTGCTCCGAGGGCCGAGCTCGCTCCAGGCTGTGACTCAACATCCCGAGGCCTGCCTGGCGACCGGGCAGCCAGGGAGGACCGGCGCCCCTAGACTTCACCTCCCGCTGCCCAAGGACATATCTGCGACCGGCCGACCAGGGACAGCGACGCCTGCCCAGATCTGGTGAGATGGCGGCAGGCTCGACTACGCTGCACGCAGTGGAGAAGCTGCAGGTGCGTCTGGCAACTAAGACGGACCCGAAGAAGCTAGGGAAATATCTGCAGAAACTCTCCGCCTTGCCCGTGACGGCAGACATCCTGGCGGAGACTCGAATCCGAAAGACCGTGAAGGGCCTGCGGAAGCACCAGCACGTGGGCCCCATTGCCAGAGACTTAGCGGCCCGGTGGAAGAAGCTGCTTCTCGTGGACCCAAACTCCAGGCCCGGGCCCGACCCACAGGACCGGGAGGAGAGCTCTTCCCGAGAGCGCTTCGGGGAGGCCCTTCGGGACCAAGAAAAGGCCTGGGGCTTCCCGGAAAACGGGACGGCCCCCAGGAGTCGATCTCACAGCCCTGAGCACAGACGGACAGCACGCACAGCACCTACGGGGCTCCGGAGACCTGAGCGAAGCTCCCCCAGCCGCCAGGACGGAGCCCAGAGAAAGCGCCCCAGAAATGCCTCCGCGGATTCCCGCCCCAATCGGGCCCCTCAGTCAGGGCGCCCCGGACCTCTCCCGGTGAGCGAGGGCCTGGAGCCCGGGCAGCAAACCGGAAGAGGCCACGCTGACACCGCTCAGGGCCTGCCCCCGCTCGCTGGAGGCTGCCAGGGCCAACCCCAGGACGAAGCGGTCGGGGGCCGCAGAAAGAAGCGCAAATCCTCCCGCCGGGAAGAACGCCCTGTGGGTGCCCAGGGCCGTGGGCAGTCTCCCCCCGCTTCCCTCATGGAGACATCCTCCGGGGCCTGCACCAGAGGGGAATCCCCAAGGCCGTCCCCCCGGGAAAGCCCCAGGGACACACCGCCCTCTGCTAGCGCCGGGACACAGAAGGAAGGAGGGCGCGCCAGCGGCAGCGGCCAGCGTCTCCCCGCCTGGGCGGTGGCTCCAGACCGCCACCCGGAGAGGCCTAGGCACAGACACTCGCACAAGAAGAGGCCAGGTCTAGACGGCCCGGACCCACGAAAGGGGACACACGGCCTCTCCCCCGGGGTCAAACAGCAGCTTTCCGGCGAACCCGGGACTCGAGAGGGGAAGCCACGCACTGCTCACTTGGACGCAGTAGCCGCGGGCTCCCTCTCTGACGCGGAGGAGGGAGAGGGGGCTGAGGAATGCCAGCAGCCCGCTCTGTCCTTTGAACAATACCTCACCTACGACCAGCCGCAGAAGAAGGGGAAAAAGACCGCGAAATCTTCCGGCACCGCTCGTGGAGATCAACGACGGAGAGCAAGCCGTTCCAAGGGCACCGCTGAGTCCCGGGCTTCGCCTCCGAAATTGCCTCCTGTCAAGGAAAGCCACTCCCCGAGGCCACAGGCGGCCGGTGCCGATTCCTCCGGGCGGAAAACCGTGCTCAGCCACGGCTTCTCAGAGCTGTGGGACCTCTCAGAGCCCTGGATGCAGGCCAACTACGATCTGCTCTCCGCCTATGAGTCCGTGACCGCCCAGACACAGACAGAACCGGCACTCTCCGCACCGACGTTCCCGGAGGAAACCGGTTCCCCGGGACGCAGAAAGAACGCCAAGATGCAGGTGTACTCCGGCTCCAGGCCTGCCCGCCAGCCCCGGTGGCTGACCTTGCGCCAGCAGTGCGTCCGGGCGCTTAGAGACAACCCCGACGTCCTGGGCCGAGCGGGACGCGTCCCCTCTTGGGTTTTTGAACTCGTCCTGGAGGGGTGTACGCCTGACCAGCTGTATCGCAGAGAGAAAAACAATCACGCGCTCATGGGAGAGACAGACGGATTATGGAGGATTCACTGCCTCCGGGACTTCAAGGGAGAAAACCCGCAGGAGCACGAGTCTTGGCGGGAGCTGTACCTGCGTCTTCGGCACGCCCGAGAGCAGCGGCTGCGTGTAGTGACGACCAAGATCCGGGCTGCACGTGACAACGAGCCCAACGGCCGACAGACGAAGATGATCTCTTTCAACTCGGTGGCCGAGCCGCCTAACGGTGCTCCGAGGAGGCAAGAGAAGTCTGCAGGAGCTGCCGACCCCGAAAATGGCAACATCAACCCAGATCCGCATCCCACGGAAAGCAGCCACCCGCCCTCTAGAGAGGGCGGCGGGGCAGGCAGCGGCCTTCCCAGGCGCCCCGAGAAGCGGGCCTACGCCTGCCTGAGCTGGAGCAGCGCGCGGCCGACGCCCGAGGCCAAAATCCGGAAACAGGCTGCAAAGAAAGTGGCCCCGCTGATGGCCAAGGCCATTCGAGACTACAAGAGAGCAATCTTACGACGATAATCTCAAGACTCCTCTTACAGATGGAATCGAAGGGGAGGAGGACCAATGCCAAGTCCATGCGGGTTAAGGAACGCAGCTCCCAACGGACACCAGAACCTTTGGCTGGGTGCAAAGCTGCGCTTCTGAATTCTGCCGGTGTCCACGGCTGGCCCTGGGATTTGGCCTCCCTCCCATACCCAGCCACTGCCTCCCTGCTGGGAGGACACCTCAGAATTCAGAAGATGTGAACGCTTTCAGATCGATTCCGCTTTGGTGGTGAACTGATCGCTCTCTAAATCATGCCCTAGTTAAAATCATCGACGAGGTAGAATTCCCTATATTTTGGTTTTTAAATCATCAGCTAGATAATTACTCTTTAGACACAAACTCACCAGGCATTAGTTAACACTGACAAATCCCACGACATAAATGGTTTTTTTGTTGTTGCTGTCGTTTTGTTTTTTAGCAAAACCTGGGCATGAAACTCTAATTGTGAGCCATCCTCCTACGGGAGGCTGAGAAGGGTGGGTGGCTTGAGCCCAGGAGGTGGAGACAAGCCTGGGCGGAACCCCACCTATAGAAGAGGAATCTAAATTAACCAGGTGTGCTGGCACGGCCCCTGGGGCCCCAGCTTCTTGGAGGGCTGAGGTGGCAGGATGGCCTGAGCCCGGGAGGCACAGGTTCCAGTGACCCTTGATCGTTCTACTGCACTCCAGCCTGGGCGACAGAAACAGAGCATGTCTCAGAGGAAACCGCTGTTTCTTTGAAAAATGGAACTGTGGACTGGGCGCAAGGGCTCACGCCTGTAACCCTAGCACTTTGGGAGGCCGAGGTGGGTGGATCACCTGAGGTCAGGAGTCCAAGACCAGCCTAGCCATCACGGTGAAACTCCATCTTGAAAAAAAGTCTTGAAAATTAACAACGATATTCAGGACTTGAACTCAGATCTGGAACAAGTAAATGTAATTAACATTTATAGAACTCTGCACTTTAAATATACAAAATATACACTCTTATCAGTACCACATCATATCAACTTAGAAGTTTAAAAGAAATCTTGGTTGGCTCCTTGTTTGCTATTCTCTTCCCTCATTTTCTTTCATGTCTCCATTATTAAGGACAATTATAGGCATACCCATATTTAGACTGCATTCTAGCCCGGGCAATAAAGCAATACCCCCATCCTCTCTCCTTCTTCCTCTTTCTCTTTCTTCCTCTTCTTTATTCTTTAAAAAAATAAATAAATAAAAAATAAAAATAAAAATCGGGAAACAACAGATGCTGGAGAGGATGTGGAGAAATAGGAACACTTTTACACTGTTGGTGGGAATGTAAATTAATTCAACCATTGTGGAAGACAGTGTGGCAATTCCTCAAGGACCTAAAAATAGAAATCCCTTTTGACCCAGCAATCCCATTACTGGGTAAATATCCAAAGGATTATAAATCATTCTACTATAAGGACACGTGCACACGAATGTTCACTGCAGCACTGTTTACAATAGCAAAGACTTGGAACCAACCCAAAAAAAAAAAAAAAAAAGAAAAAAAGTCAACAAGAAGAAGAAGAAGAAAAGGAACTGCGGGATTTCATCAAACAGTGGCAATAACCGCTACCTTTGTTAAGTCAGACTACTTTCACTAAGCACCAAAGAGAATCGTTTCCAATCTTTTCACCCAGAACCCCTATGGAAGAATGGCAGAAACTTCATCACTTTATCTAATTGGCCTCTGAATCAAGAAATCTAAAGCCACCAATCAGAGTCTCTAATTACCATGAGATGACCAGGGTAACATCCTTCGGTTCAGATCACATGAGCTTCGGCCGGCTTTGCTAAACCTTTAGTTTTTAACTGAGGGCATGGGTTGGCATCATACGGACGGGCAATTGCAGGTCCCTGTGTCAGATACCTCCCGACCCTCCCCCACACACACCCTTGAGTAAATCTGATTTCCTTGATGAGATTTCCTGATGCCTACAGTTAGTGAGAAGCCAAGAGACAGACAGAAAGGCCTATCCCACAAAGCAGAACCAAGCAAGGACAGTAAAAGAGATCAAACTCCTATGCCCCTGGGAGGGGTGGGGGGCAGTAGAACAGGTGGTGGGAAGCTTCTGGAATCAGGCATCAGAGCAGATGCCAGTGCAAGAGGGAAGGGGCCTTCAAGGCTGAAGAACACGAAGGAAGCCAGGACAGGCAGCCGCAGGGGTGCTGCTCCGTGAGGATGACGTCTTTTTTCTGGGGAAAGAAAGATGTGATGCAAGCAGGGACTGTATACAATTCAGGGGAGACTCCCTGAACCTCCCCCCCTACCCCGCCCGCCCAGCAAGGGACACACAAGGCCAGTCTCTATTTCTTCACGGCAATACAAGAGCGGGTCTGTGGTGTCCCGCAAAACTTATGAGAGAGCCAAATCTCCTCCTCGTGGCACAAGAGCCACACGTTCTTCCTGGAGGTGGAGTAGCCACTGATCACCCTGCAGCTTCTCCCCGCTCCCACCGAGACATTCCAGTCCCCTGGACTCAAATCCGCTGGCAACAGCCTTCCTTTGTGGAAAAGGTTTCCCCTCCCAAAACACAAAACAAACAGGATACAAGCAAACACAACTCAAAACATGAAGAGCTAGCTCAAGCCCCTCACAGCTCACCTATGCGCCCACTGTCACGCTACTGACAATGGCGTCTGCCCCCACTGAACTCATTCATGACTGCAGAACCTGACTGACAAGCTTTAGCGGGTCACGGCTCCCACCGAGACACGCCCTCTCGAAGAAAGAACTAGATAACAAACCCCCACACAATAGATAAACCTAAACCAAATAGAATTCAGCACCCACCTGTGGATCCTACTGTCACATTACCACACTGACAAAAAACAGTTCAATCCTCTGCTGACCTGTCTACAGAATAATCCTCATTCGGAGCGCTCCGCAAGCACTGCCAGCGTTGCACCGGGATCCCCTTGCTGAGGTAGCTCGACGTCAGGAAACAGAGCAGATGTACCTGGTTTTCCTACATATCACGGAGAGTTAATTCTCAGAAAAGGCTTACCACCGGAATCCTCGTCCCCTGATTCTCGGGCTATTAGATTTTCTTTCTTCAGAAATACACACACACGCACAGACACACACACAGATGCACACACACACACACACACACACACACACAACACAGATGCATACACACGCACAGAGAAAGAGACCAAAAGTCACAGGAGCATTAGAAAATGAGGCGAAATCACCATCCAGAGGAGAAACAATAGCCAGCACCGTAGACACTTCCAGTGGTACTGCTGTCCTTATTCTGACTAAAAGATGAGAGTGGAACTCGGCTGCAGGGACCGTTGTTGCAGCAACGGTCAGACGAAGATGATCTTTTTCAACTCGGTGGCCGAGCCGCCTTATGATGCTCCGAGGAGGCAAGAGAAGTCTGCAGGAGCCGCTGACCCCGAAAATGGCAACATCAACCCAGATCCGCATCCCACAAAAAGCAGCCACCCTCCCTCTCGCAGGGGCGGCGGGGGCGGCGGGGGCGGCAGTGGCCTTCCCAGGCTCCCCGAGAAGGGGGCCTATGCCTGCCTGAGCTGCAGCAATGCGCAGACGACGCCTGAGGCCAAAATCCGGAAACAGGCTGCAAAGAAAGTGGCCCCGCTGATGGCCAAGGCCATTCGCGACTACAAGAGAACATTCTTCCCGACGATAAACTCAAGACTCCTCTTACAGATGGAATCGAAGGGGAGGAGGACCAATGCCAAGTCAATGCGGGTTAAGGAACGAAACTTCCAACAGACACCACAAACTTTGGCTGGGTGCAAAGTTACGCTTCTGAATTCTGCAGGTGTCCACCGCTGGCCCTGGGATTTGGCCTCCCATACCCAGCCACTGCCTCCCTGCTGGGAGGACACCTCCGAATTCAGAGGATGTGAACACTTTCAGATCCATTCCACTTTGGTGGTTAACTCATCACTTTTTAAATCATGTAAGAGTTAAAATCATCAACGAGGTACAAGATGTAGAATTCCCTATTTTCTGGTTTTTAAATCATGAACTAGATCATTCCTTTTTAGACACAAACTCACGAGGCATTAGTTAACACTGACAAATCTCACTATAGAAATGGTTTTTTGTTGTTTTGTTGTTTTGTTTTGTTTTGTTTTTTGAGACGGAGTTTCACTCCTGTTACCCAGGCTGGAGTGCAATGGCACGATCTCGGCTCACCGCAACCTCCGCCTCCTGGGTTCAGGCAATTCTCCTGCCTCAGCCTCCTGAGTAGCTCGGGTTACAGGCACGTGCCACTACGCCCAGCTAATTTTTTGTATTTTTAGTAGAGACGGGGTTTCACCATGTTGACTACGATGGTCTCGATCTCTTGACCTCATGATCCACCCGCCTGGGCCTCCCAAAGTGCTGGGATTACAGGCTTGAGCGACCGCGCCCGGCTATGATTAACATTTAAATTAGTGGACTTTGAGTACAAAGTAGATTGCCCTCCACAATGTGGGTGGGCCTCATCCAATCATTTGGAGGCCTAACCAAACCAAATGACTGCCCCCCCCCAAACAAGAAGGAATTCTCCAGCAGATTCTAACTGCACCGTCCGCTCTTTTGGGTCTCCAGCTCCCAGCCCACCCTGCAGAAACGGGCTTGCCAGCTCACTTCAACAGCAGCAGAAATTGGTTCTAGACACACCCCTATAACTGTGTGAGCCAATTCCTAATAAGAAATACCTCTATAGATACAGATGATTAGATACAGATAATAGATGGGATATAGATATCAACGATATGGATAGAGATATTGAGAGATTTTATATATATAATGATATACAGGTAAATATAGCTATTAGATGTAGATGATATAGCTATGTTATACAGATATAGATACAGATAGACATAAAGATACAGACATACCTCCCCTAGGCTGGGGAGAACCCTGATTAGAACAGGCTGCCACACATGCTTTCTGGACTCCCTTGCTTTGTGTCCTTGGCAACGCCTGCACACCCCCATCTGAGCTCGTCATTC